AAAGGAAATGAAAAATAAAAGTTTGTGTGGATACATAAGATTCTCTATCTCACCATCTGATAAACGTTAATTATGGAGCGTCAAGTAGTCTCATTATTTAGATCTTGCAATCTCCCATGCTGCAAGTTGTATAAATTGAAGTAGAAAAGCATCCCTCACAATTCCTCTTTCCTACGGTTGTTCATCTAATTGATGAAACCGACCAAACAGATCAATCTGATTTGAGTTGGTCAGTTTTTTAATTATTTCAGTTGATTTTGTATTAACTTTTATGTTAAATTAATAGGTTGGGTCAGTTTTGGTTTGATCATTTATAAATTGACCAAAATTGAATCGATTCCTATCATATATATATATTAAATTTTTATTTTTTAATATAAGAAAGTGAGGAAATTCTCATATTTCTTACTTTAAAATATTTTATATTATAATTTTTAATTCTTTTTAAACTCTTTTAATAATACCATTACAATTCTTTAAATTTAAGTTTAAATTCTAATTAAATTGTTAAATTAAATCTTTTTAAGCCGATCAATCAAACTGAAAATCGGCCCTAATTGATACAATCTAAATTGACTGATTTTCATCGTTAATTTGTCAGTTTCAGGTGACTAATTCCCCAACATAATTCGGTTGGCCAAATAGCCTGAAACCAAATCAAACCGGCCCGTAAACACCCCTACTCTCCAGTTTTTATTCATTAGTTGAAAAAAAAAACCTAGCCACGTGTTTAAACCAAGTCCTTTTCATTGCTTTATGTGGACTATTGGTACTGGAGTGAATATAACACAAGGCCAATCCATATTAGATTATGCCTTTGCCGATCGACTCGTTTGTTCCACATAGCACATGGTTGGAGCCTGAAACAGCTCCACATGTTTCCTTCTCCATCTATATTGATGTGAATGCTTAGGTCAGAGTAGCCTTGCCACCTGTAAAAAATTAACCACTTTTCGGTACTTTAAAAAGTAGGAGTGTAACTTGGGTATGAACCAACAAGGAAGAGCTCAAAATCGGACCCACCCCGCACGAAGGTCATGGCATGCCCTGTCTAAAGTTGGGGCCCAAAGTGGGCTTGTGCTGGATTTTGAGCGATCCTGGCCAGAATGGAGGCCCACGATGTAGAGGTGTAGAAGTATATATACTAATATACATATACATGCATTTGTAAATTGTACACGAATATATGAAAACTGTAATTAAGCATGTTCTTTTTCCATATTCTTCAATCAACAAATTGCTAAGAAAATCAAACTATCGTCATTTTATCAATTCATATTACTTAGTACTTACAATGAAAGTATGGCCCATCCTGGCCCAAATCCATGCAATTTCAGACAAGATTGAGCAAAGGTCGGTGTTCCTTGGACCGAAACCAGACACTGTTCCAGCTAAGCCAATTGTAAGTTAACTGCCCTAATTTTGTATGGCTAATCAGGGCTATAAAGTGGGCCGAGCTACACAAGCTGAGCAAGAGCTTGAATTTAAGTTTATTTTACTAAACATGCCTGAGACAAGCTTGGGACTTGGGAGAACTAAGGTCTATTGTCAGCTTGTTCAGATAGCATAACATATTTATAAAATAATGTCTCGCATATAATAAAAATATGACATTAGTAAATTCCATATCAATTTTGAGCATTGAAGCTTAAAATGTGAAGCCCATAGAAGGCCCACAACTATATAGAAAATGGTTAAAATATCAGAATGTTGAGTTAAAACGAGCTTGGCAATACCAAAAGAGTTTGAGCCCAACTATCGCTCCATGAACCCGAGCCAAACTGGGCAATCTTCAGGTCCAAAGTCCAATTTATATCGTTAAGACATTTAACTTAGCTCAGTAATCAGGACCAATTAGGAGACACTTAAGTATCGCTCAAATTAAGGTGGAGGTTTAGATACTATTGAAAATGTCCATATCCTCTCCCCTGACTTTCAGATACTTTTAATTGACCCCCTCAGACGATTCCGTCAAATGGCAATCTAGCGAATTAGAAGAAAATAATTAGTTTTGAAAAGATTATATATTTCTATTTTCTTTTTCTTTTTCTTTTTAATGCTTGACTGCAACACTAAAGATCCACAAACTTTCGAAATGAAGGTATAGATTAGACTACAAAATTTTAGGCTTATGTTGAATTTCATGAAAAGCGAAGGATAAATTTCTTAGGAAGTTGACTAACAAGTACCCTCAAGTTTTTCTAACAAGTCTTTAAGTATTAATAGAAAATAAAATCTTAAATTTGTCTTCTACTATTTATCAAATTTTCAAAATAAAACTTAACTGATAAAAAAATTTAAAGAGCAGGATGAAGAGAAACTACTTTACTCTTTTAATGTTCATCTTATACATCATTGCAAGGCAGAGAGAGTTCTCCAATGAATGCAGGTTTTCCTTGTCATTTTCTCTCTCTTTATATGTGTCTGCTTCCGTCGTTTTAGCAGAAACTGTAAAAGATGAATTTGTATTCAGGCCTTGTTTTCCCTCTTGGTTCTTCAATCTAGAGATGGGTTTTAACTTCCTGGTAGTTACCCTCACAAATACCAGGTCGGAAACCAATTGTTGGCGAAGGTGAATTCTTTCACTTCCATCGATACTGAGTTACGGTCTTCCCTTCTGTAAGCCTCTCGAGGGTGTTAAAGACAGTGTCGAGAACCTAGGTGAGCTCTTGGGAGATAGGATCGACAACTCTTTACTGATGGGTATCCTCTGGGCTCTGGTTTAAGTGCGGAGACACTTGTTAACAAATAGACAATCGAAGACTCGATCACACAGACGCACAACAGACGATATATTTTAAGAAATTATGCCATCATTCAAGGTGATGTAGTCAAGTCTCTATACAGGTTACCCGACCCTCCCAAATTGGAAAAATGTGACTCAATTGTTTAACCACAGGTATAGAGGATAGGTGGAGGGTAAAACATGTAGCAGCTGTTTTTTTAAGTTTTGATGTAAAATGTTATTCTATTATCGAAAATGGCTTAGCTATCAAAACAGAGCCCATTATAATGGTAAAAGACAAGGTAAACAGCTTTTGCTTCTGTCTCTTAACCTGATCATAAATACAAATTGACACAATAAAATGATAAATTGTAAATCTCTAATTTATTTACTTACATCTCTTTATTTGCATGCAAGTCTTTTGCTGAAACTTGCAGTCAGAAAAATTATGCATTCACCAATTGCTCCTTGTGAAATGTCTTATTGTCAATTACGCATAGGCAAGAATGTATAAGGAGTCAATGGCGGATCGAAGTACAAGCTAGTGTGGGAAATTGTCCTTATTGGGATTTAAATTTAAAAATGTTTTATATGTATATCAAGAAATTTAATCTTTTTTTTTGTTTATAATTGCCCCCATTCAAATATATAGTAAGGGTTAAATGAAATCTGACTTTTTAATTGGAGTCTTTTTTCATGGTTTTATTAAAAGGCCTAAGAGGTGAAGCCGTAAGGTATGCCCCACTCATTAAAGGTCCTAGATCCGCCATTGGTTGGAGTTGTAATGGTAAGCATGTCTGTAAACAATTTGTGGATATTCTTTGCAAATTTCATTAATAGCTTCAAGGGAAGCTTAAGAACATTGTGGGAATACCCATATTGGCGGTGGTGTGTCGCTGGTGCCAGAACTGCCACTGCACCTGCTGCAGCTGGGTCAAATAAGAGAAGGTTGAAGAAAAAGAACAAGAGGGATGGGGGATAGTATTGGGTTTTGATATATGTCATGTGGTGTCACATATGTATGGATTTTGATAGAACATTAACATAATGGACGCTAATAATAGGAATAGAGTTACTCAATTACCAAAAGACTTATAAGACAATAATTAAACAGTAAAAGTATAATTTATCAATTAGCTAAATAGTAGAGATATTTTGAAAAATTAGTCATTTAAACAATTCAGTTATCCTGCAGAACTCTTTAAGTAAAACCTAAGATCTCATTGAAATGGTTGCAAATTGTAAGGGACAACTATGATCGAATCCCTTGTTTCACCAGGCAAAGGGATATAACTTTGAAAGGGAGGCATGTTAGAAGGGCACGAGTTAGTTTATGCCCTTTTCCATTAAAAAAATTGTTATCTTAAGCTATTTTTAATGTGCTGTTATTTTTATTTTGAAAATAAAAAATATATTAATTATTGGTGAACACCTCTTAGGTATTTTCTCAAAGAAAAAATCATTTTCACCACCTCCAATCAAACACAGCCTTCATCTCAAAAGTTGTTGACTTCATAAAACACAAACCAAAAACAAATGTTTACAATCARGTCTACCCTACCTTATACACTCTATCCACTGTTGGGAAAAAAATACATGTAACATGATTGATTGATTTTCTATCGATCATTAAATTTTCAAGTATTGGTATTGATTGATTTGATTTTTTTTCCTTCTAAAGATCCTTTACAGAATTCTTTTATCACTCAATACTTTTTTTTTTCTCTTGAGGCATGCCATGTGTTGGAAATAAAAGATGAAACCCACAGTCAAATGATTTCCAAGTAGGATGGTGTTTGATAAGTGTTGAAGTAGATAATGATACTGAACTTGACAGAAGATCCTAATTTCTAAACTTGAAAATGTGCTTGAATTCTGCATCGAGCTCCTGTTTTTGCAATTATCAAACACAGTTTAAGTCCATAACAGGGGGACACTCCTAATCTCTAATGGTGGGTTCTGATTGTCTTTATCTTGGCAAGTGGCAACTTGTAAAGAGCACCCAATTGCAGTTATGATAAGACCGCCCTCAATGTCCTTTCCTGGGTCTGGGCTCCACCAAAGCCGTGACGAAACGGTTTAGCTCAAGCCTCAAAGGAAAGCATACATGAGAAGTAAGTAAAACAAACGAAGTGGTGGGATGTGAAAAGATGGTGGAACCCCTCCTTGTTAAACAACTCTTAATCCCTCCTTTCTTTCTTTTCAGTTTTCCAAATGCCAAAAGCCCAACTTTTGCATTACTTTTGTGTGTTGGAGTTTTCCTTTGCTGCTTAACCAATCAATGAACCCCCCACCCCCAGCAGTTGAAGCAATCAATCCCTTAACAAACCTTCTTTACCAAAATTGATTTTTTTCAAGTTTTCAATAATCAATACAACGCTTTTCGTACATGTACCCATTATTCTGCAAATGACAATATTCCAATCCAACATTTTATGCTGGAAAGGATGATCTAGACCGTCCTGTGAAGGGCGTGGTTCATGCTTGAAATTCTCTTTTTAGCTTTTACATACCCACAACAGAAACAGAAATATTGTTCCTTTCTTTCTGTAATTTTTTAATGGCTGCTGTACAATGTACAAATAAACCGACAGACGGTTTAAACGAATTAATAATGTCATAACAAAGGCAAACAGTGGCTTTATACTTGTTTAGAAAGTTCTGTTTGGTATTAATTGGGTGATAAGGAAAGAATACTCCTATTCTCCCAATCTCCCAATCTCCCAAGTGGGGTTGAGGGTGTTCAGTATATCTTCAATGGGTCTTTCTCGTTGCAGATTGGTTGCATTTTTCTTCTTTTTTCCCTTTTTTCTTTGACGTTGCAGGCTTTGTAGCAGTTGCTAGTGACAAGTGAATCCAGCATTTCACAATTCACATGGAAATTGTCTTCTGCAATCGGGTCCTTGCATTTCTACTATCTTGTTGGTTACTAGCTTCTGTTGCGCATTCTGGTAAAATTAGAGGAGTGAACCTGGGTGGGTGGCTGGTCGTGGAAGGTTGGATTAAACCTTCTCTGTTCGACGGCATTCCCAATGGAGATATGCTTGTTGGTTACCCTGCATTACCTCCTCCTTTTTCTTTTTCAAATTTATTTCTAAAATACTCCTCTTCCGATGTATTGAGATTTATTTTCTCCCTTGGATTTTTTTCTTCAATTACGGCAACTGACCCATTTGTGGCAATTGAAATGTAGGACGGAACGCAGGTGCAGCTCAAATCAGTGGGTCTGCAGAAATACGCAAGTGCGGAAAATGGAGGAGGTATGGGTGTAACAGTAGACAGAGACATTCCTTCTTCATGGGAGACCTTCAGAGTAAGCTGTCTAACAAGATTGGTTGTTCATGTCGTGTTACATTCTGCTGTTAGTTTATTTTTACTGTACCTAATCTCTACTCTGTTACTTAAAATAAGGTTTGTTTATTTATATTCATGGTAGTGCAAGATAGTTGTCTTAGATGTCCATGCCCCCACCGTCGCGTCATTATCTAACTCAAATGACCAAGCATTTGATTCTCCATTCGCTTTCTCTTTTAATTCATTCAGTAAGACGTTTCAGTGAGCTAACTGCTTCAGTGAAGTGAAAAATTGCACCCATATAAGCAGATTCACTTGTATATTTAGCAGATTAAGCACTAGATTTGCCACTGTGTTTTGTAAATTAATTCCAATAGAGGGTCCTTTGCATAAAGATATATTTCTAGCGGTTGTTGCAGGAATTTAGATCCCATGGAAATGTGAGTGCCCTGGAAGTACAACCACTGAGCAATGTGTAATCAGCATTCGGAACTAGAAAGAACTTTAGCATATTTCAGATTGCAATTCGTACATTCAAAAAGAAAAATATGATGATTTCAGATTGGTACATTGATGAAGACCGTGTCTTTTGGTATGAGAGCTTGTGTCAGAACTGTCTTTGCCGACTAAAGCCACTATTAAACCTCTTGCATGAGAGAAAACAAGAAAAGGGACTAATATTTCAGAAGGGAATGCTGCATTTACTAGATACCTCAAGGCCAGTGAGAGAAGGGAGGTCATTAATGGTGGAAAGAAACCATAAGCAACTTAGGTGCAGTCATTTTGGTTTTAGACTTCAGAAATATCAAGCTTGGATACTGTTCATGTTAGCAAGCTTTCACCTGAACCCAACCCATTAAACCCGAATATCGGTCTTGGTTTTATACAACTGAGACAAGTTATATTCTCTCAGTCATGTCATTTTGATTCATTTGATATTATACACTTTCTATATTTTCTATGAACTTAAACCTTGAAACAAGGATGGGCTGTGATGTGGGTTTGCTCAAGAACAATTCATGGGTACTTGTCTTATTTCCTCTCACTTAAGTGTTGAAATTTTCTTATGTCATTGAGATTTGAAGTATCCCAATGTGAAGATGATACAAAGGAGTCCACAGCCACTTTATTCAATTCTAATCAATGTTTAAAAATGTGGATGCATGAGGCAAGCTGCCGGGACCTTTGGATTTGTGGGTCACCTAATGGGTTATTGACTTTTAAGAAAACTCTCTTTTTTTATCAATAACTGCAGCTTTCATTATCTCTCCCCAAATTTTCTTTTTTACAATTGTGCCTAAAACATCAATTATCTTTTTGTCCCTTGCTTAGCTAATGTATCTTCCATGGAGTTGGCAGTCCTTTTAACCCATTGTATTTTCACTTCCATATCCTTTATCATCCATTTGAACTCTTTGTTCTCATTGTTGTACATTCATAACTTCAAGTTATCACTTAGAAGCCACCCACTACTAATTTTGGATCTCCTTCAATAATCAATTTCCTGGTAATCAGTTAATTTGCCCTTCTTACTTTTTCCATCATTGCCATAACTTCAGCCCGTAGAGAGTAGTCTCCCTCACCTGCTGTTCCTGAAAAGAGGACAATTACCTTCCCTTACTCATCCCTTTGCAAAAGAAATTTCTGATAATTGAAATTTCTTATGATGGTCAATCCAAAATATAGGCTATGTTTGTAAAATTGATGATATGCCTATGATATTTTGGCAAGTTTACAATAGGCATATCACAGATTGGTAGTTTTTAGATTTTTCCTTTTTTTTTTCTGGAAGGTAATATATAGATTGTACTAGAAATGAGAAAAAAGCATACATTAACATATTTTGGATTAGAGTATCAACATATCTACCTTGAGCTACTATTGAGCTGAACTCTGATCTTACCATGTAAGGATCACTAGGAGAGATGGGTTTCTGTGGGTAGGGGGTTCCAAAGCTAAGAAGAAAAAGAACTCTCCCCCTTAGACCCTCTACCTTTCTATTGCCTAACTTTGTTAATGAACTGCTCAGTGCTATCCACATACACACCAGATTCAAGAAGAAATGCTAAAGACTCCCAGTTGCAGAACACTGTAGGAGAAGATGAATGGGTGTCTCTCCATTTCTGAGGCACATAATACATACACGGGTAGATATGTATGACCTTCTCATCAGCTTTCTCTGAAACAAGTTATAGGTGTTAATTTTGTTCCAAATTGTTTTCCTGACAAAGAAAGAGACTCTAGGTGACATAATTGAGAACCAAAGTTTTCTCTGAGGGAAAATGCTAGATGTAGGGTTGGTGGTGATGCAATGTTAGAAGGATTTGATATTCACTATATGGGTATAGGATGTCACATCTATCTATTGTTTGTAAGAGGGAAGAAGTAAACTTCTTTAAAGGGCTATATGGGGTCTTGGGAGGGTGGACTGGATAGGGTGTAACCTTCAGCATTTTCTTCCATGAAGTAGACATTCTCAGACTCAAATTCACATTCTTATGCTTGTCAGCCTGAGATTTTACCATTGCACTAAGGAGTTGTCCCTAAGAGGCAACCTTCTTTGAGAACTATTTTTTCCTCTCTCCACCCAATTTTGGTACCCCCTTTGGGAAATGGAGAAATATTTAGTGATATTTGTGATACTTTTTCAATGTTTTGACTCTGAAAAATGGATAATGGCAGGACCATGCTAAATATCAGAATATTTATCATTTCTTTTGCTCTTGATTTCATATGATCCCTTTGGATAAGGGGGAGATATTGGGATATACCAAATGGCAGAGACATTTGATCAATCCCCCCAACTAAGGATGAAGTTTTGCTGTTTTATTCATTATCTTGTATTTTCAGGAGACTTAATTCTTTTAAGAAGCAAGAAGTGCTTGTTTCATAATTTTTTGATTTTCTATTTGTAGGCCTATGTTGATTTAGTCTTGCTATATTTGAACATTTGGAACAACTTGAATGCTCCTTTACTATTAGTTTCATGCATAAAATGCTGGTTTGAGTTTTCCATGAGATTGTTTCCTAAATAAAATAAAACCTGTAATAGGTTCTAAATAATTGTGAAATTACATGGATTAGAGTGGTGCTATTATGCATGTAGAAGAGCCCTTGTTTTGTCACATTAAGTCTGCAGTTAATTAATGCAAGCTAATGAGTTGGAATGAAAAGAGCGATGAAAAAAGAAAAAAAAAAGAAGAAAGAACATCAAAATAAATTATTGTGGAATTGCTACCTCTACTGTCCTTGCTTTTTGTAAATAGGTTAACAACCAATTTTGGTAGTATTGCTATTGGATCTGACATTTTACTTAACATCGTTTTCTTTTCAAGTCCATGAAGCTTGATTATGACTTAATTTATTCTTATTAAGAAGTATCATTTATTGATTGATTAAAAAAGAATCATTTCTTTTGCTATTATTTACTAGAACCATAGAACCATATAATAATATTTGCTAGGGATTCATGTGCATGTATAAAATCTAAAAATAAAACTCTGATGTATGAAGATTGTTTATCCTGGTAATTTCTTTTATTGCAGTTATGGAGAGTATCTGACACAGGATTTCAGTTGCGCTCTTTCAGTGGCCAGTTTCTAACCTGTAATGGTGAAGGGGATTCTGTTTTGGCAACAGCAGGAGTACCTTCCACTAGAGAAACATTTTACATTGAAAGAAACAATTACAATAATAGTAGTAAAGTTCACATTAAGCATGCAAGTGGAAACTACCTCCAGGTATGATTTACTCAGCTATTTAAGCTAACATTTCACGGGGATTCCAGAGTACCCTGTTCAATGGTATAATAGTATTATAGTACACATGCATCACATGCAATCTGGTGGCTTGACTGGTGGCCATAAGCCATCAATGTGTTCTGTGATGCCAAACGTCTTTCAATTATCCAACCGTTTTAAATGGTAGAACAGGTTTGATGAAATGACCCATTAATCCCAAATAATTAAGATGAGGTTTTGATCCTGATGATGGGCATTTTTAAAACTTTTTTTCTGGATCATATGTCATAATTATCTCTGATTGTCCAGAAGAATGCAAGGGAATGAATTTTTTGGATTGTCACATTGGGTAAAATTTTGTTGATCTAATTGGTTGAATGGACAGAGTTATGAATCAACCACATGTAGGTGTACCACTTTACTACTGAAATTGTTAAACCCTGCTTAAGCCACCAGAGGGGTTGGTTCCTTAAACTTTTCAATTAACCCAATAAGTCTTTTTTTTTTTTTACTTCTCATATGCAATTCATTTAATTTTTAAATGATAAACATTTTACATTAAACTTCATTTGTTTAGGCTACATTAGCAAACCAGATTGCAGCTGATTATCCAGGAAAGCCAGGATGGGATGATACAATGGCCACATTTGAAATGATTATCATAGTCAATAACTTGCATGGAGATTACCAGCTTGCTAATGGGTATGGACACCAAAAGGCCAAAGAGGTTCTCATGGTAACTTTTCCTGTCTCTTCATTTTTTACTTTTCTCTATCCAGAAAATTTGATGAATATGAGCTCTATACACTAAACTTCTCTGAGAATGTCGCATTCCTGACACTGTTGCATTAAGTACAGGAGTTATTTTCTCTAGGAAATAGGGGTATATTGTGCAGTGTTTCAAGGGCTCTCTTAAATGAACAATGTGTCCATGTCAGACATGCATCAGAGGCCTAAACTCCAGATTCTTGAGGACACTTCTATGTGACATTTCCTTTTTTATCTCCTAGCCCAACATAAATGAACGGTTAATATACAAGATGAATGCCATATTTTGTCAAATGTTACTAGTAACAAAGGCAACATTTTAGACCCTTTTTTGCAGGTATATAATGCAAGAATTCAAAAAACATGAACAATCTTAATGATATATACTTTTCCATAGATGTGTCTGCAAATCCATGTTTTCTCATCTAGCCAAGTCAGACTCTTGGGCACGTGTTAGATTCTGATTCCTGTATCTATGTCCATTCACCTATCTTTGAATAAAGTCAAATGGTTGCCAATTGAATGTATGAAATTTTTATGTTATTGTATGTCCATGTCATTTTCATATTTTCTATTGATGCTAACGGATTTGGCTATATCAACTATGATTACTTAATGGAGTATTTTATAATGATGAAGATGAACATTGTTCAGTATATCATTAGCCATGTTATTATGGATTGACATGGTTCCTCCTGTGGATTCAAAGATACACATACCATTATTTCTGACTGTCAAATTGTACTAGGCCAACATAAAGAAGATCAACTACTTTTGTTAAGTTCAGTTATTTTCATGTGTTTTATGACAATGCAGAGACATAGAAACAGCTTTGTCACTCCAGCAGATTTTAGTTTTCTGTCCAGACATGGGATAAATACTGTGAGAATTCCTGTTGGCTGGTGGATTGCCCTAGATCCTAATCCACCAGCCCCTTTTGTTGGGGGAACTTTGGAAGCTCTTGATAATGCATTCTCATGGGCACAGTAGGTCTCATTTTTACCCTTTTTTGTGACCATATAATTCAAGCCTTTGAATTCATATTTTATTCTGGGCATTGGTTAACCCAGACTTACAATTCTGTTTTGCAGGGCCTACAACATAAGGTGCATAATTGACCTTCATGCAGCTCCTGGGTCCCAGAATGGGATGGAGCATAGTGCCAGTAGAGATGGTTCAACAAATTGGCCCACATCTCCAGAATACATTTCACAAAGCCTGGATGTCATAGATTTTCTGGCTTCCAGGTAAATGTCACTTCCATGCTGCTAAGAGTTCAGAAGGCCTTGATGCACTTATCTTTATTGTGGTAAACTTGTTTATCATTCAACTTAACCACCTCTAAGCTTAAAATCAAACAGGATAAATAACATGTTTGTGGATGGCCAGGATCATTTGATCAAGCTGAAATATTAGCCACTTTCAATCCACAATGTAGTTTAAATTTTCTTGATCAGTCACATTGTAGTACACCATTCTCAGACCCACTAATATGTGTATCAACTGGTTGGTAGTTGGTTAGCAAGCATCAGTCTGGTGTAGAGGAGTGTGGAGATTTTATTTAATCATCAATACTCTTTGAAAACACTCTCTTGTCACTGCATGCTCTCTCTCCATTACACTATCAGTATCAGTGACGGTCATTACTTATCATTTCCACATTAATGGTTCCAACTTTACGATTTTTGTACACATTGTACTTCCTGTTTTCATCACCTGTCCTGATACTTCTGTGTGCTTTTCCCTTTCGTCTGTGCTTGGATAAGTGGGGTAGACATGGAAAAACAAGATGGAAATAAAAAATTAAGGGGGCAGAGTTGGTAGTGGGGATAATAATTCATTTTCCTGCCAAAATGAGGGAAAGGATGGTGAATAGTCTTCTGCTGTTTTGATTCCATCATGCCTTATTTACCAAGGCTAATTGGCTGGATCCATATCAGAAACTAAGAAAGAGAAAACAATATGTACTTAATTGTTTTTCAAAGAAAATATAATGGACAAGGTTGAATTGCAGGGAAAATGTGGGCTTTATACCCCGATAAGATGTTACAAGGGAAAAGAATCTGTTAGTATAACTAGTTATATTCTCCTTAATGCTTCGAAGGTCTTTTGGTTTGTCCAATTGACACTTGCTACTAGCCTGAATTGATTCATCTCAGACAAGACACATTTTCTTTCTTAAAATAGTAAACTTCTTTCTCTTTTTATTTTAATACACTATATTCACTGCTTTTTATTTGATCTCATTTTCTGAAGCTTAGGCTTATGTCATAATACTTCACTTGCAGATATGCAAAACATCCTGCTTTTTTGGGCATTGAGCTTTTGAATGAGCCATCTGCCTCTACTGTTCCACTGGATGTCTTGGTTTCTTACTACTCAAAGGGTTATCAAATTGTACGTAATTACTCATCCACAGCTTATGTAATAATTTGCCAGAGAATTGGCAACGCAGATCCATTTGAGCTTTATCAAGCCAATATTGGCTCTTCAAACATTGTGGTGGATTTGCACTACTACAACCTCTTTGACACTTTTTTCAGTAATATGAGTGCTATGGATAACATTCAGTTCATATACAAGAGCCGGAAGACTCAATTACAGGAACTAGATAGTGCAAATGGCCTGCTTGTCTTTGTTGGTAAGACGGTATCTAGGTCGAAGTCTTTTAAGCCTAATCTGACTTATTAGATGATATGATATAGATCTTACCTAATTCATAGTCTGTCTTCAGGTTTTGAAATAGAGAGCTAATGTGATATCTAAATTGGATTGGATTCAGGGGAATGGGTGAATGAATGGAATGTGGCAAGTGGATCTCAGCTGGCTTATCAAGAATTTGGGAGGGCCCAATTAGAGGTATATAATGCAGCTTCTTTTGGATGGGCATATTGGACACTTAAGAATGACAGAAAGCATTGGGATTTTGAATGGAATATCAGAAATAAGTATCTCCAATTAGGTAAGTTCTAAAACTCATTATGGGGAAGAAAAGAAAAAAGAGAAAAAAATCTCACCCATTAGGTGCTAGTTGCCAATGTTGCATGGACACATGTGAGAGTTCAAATGTGACACAGAGTTTGTTTTAGCAAGATGTAAAAGCATGGACACGGGGGACACACCCCATTAAATTGTGTTTACTATTAAAGAATTCCATAACTTGTCAGCTCTAACATTATATACCTACAGAAAGGGCATAAATAATGTCTCTACTTAAGAATGTTCTGCAAGAAAAGGGGGCATCAATGATGCACATTAGATTTTCATTTATGTCAATTGAAAAGAAAGGTGAAAAGGACATGTAGAAGTTGTCTCCTCAAAAGTCTCTGGTGCATTAAATCCAAAATTTGTCTATCAGGGATACTTCATCCGTTTAGTAGTTCCATGCAACATGGCAACTTTACTTTGGCTATTCTACTTCCATTTTTGTTCTGTAACTGTTCTTTTCTTATGTTAGGTTGGCTTACCATGTATAAACTTAAGTTAGAATATTTTCTTTGCAGGTGTTTCATCAAAGAAAAAAATTTCAAACGGTTTTCATTTACTTGCATTGGCTTGTGGGTCTTTTTATTTGCTTTACATATTGTGACAGACAACAATGAAGTTGCCCTACCAGTTCAGAACAAGAAAGATTTACAATGACCATGTTTTCTCCTTCCTAGCTCATCATTGTTGGAGGACAATCCTCTATGCTGCTTACAATGCCTCGTCAGCTCAGAATAAAAGGGAGATTTATAATGTTTCTGTTCAGTCCTTCATAGTTCATTGTATTGGGAGAAATAATCCTCCTCATCATTATAAGTGGTTCCAATAATCTCAGGGAGCAGATTTGGAGCAGCCCTATAATCATTGAGGCTCATGTTACATTCAATCTTGTTATATGTAAAATAGAAAAAGTCCAGTCTGGTAATTGCTTCCTGAGTTTTGTCGAATGTAAATCTTCTGTTGTCAATTTGTTGTCTATCATTCATTTTTACAAGTAGAATGTAAACTTTCTTGACCTGGCCACCTGGCAATGGGAGAAATAATCCAAGAAAAAGATGCAACCAGAAAACACGAAGAAACCTTCCAAGTGGTGTGAATGGCATTGCAATCCCAATATTAGAAATCATAGTGGTGGAACAGATCACAGGCCATCTTTGGATGAATGAGATTTTCTGAGTATAGATCATGTCAATAATGAAGGTCTGCATGAGGAGTCCCTCGACCCTCAACAAACCAGGCAAATGGGTTTCCGTGGATATTTGGTTTCATAGTAGAAGTGAAAGGAACATAAGGTTGGCAACATTGCAGACAGAGAATACCGGCAACATTCTAGAACATGAACATGGCCAAACCTGAAGTGACCACTTTTCTTTGGTAGCTTGGCATACTCTTCCTCCATTTGCCCCATGGGAAAGCCATCTGAGCCACACACTGAATAATTAGGAGCTGTCTCGGTATTAAAAGGCTCAAATGAGAGGAGAGTTGTATTTAGAAGTGACACGATGCTGTTTCTGTATCTTTATTACTTGATGCCGTTCACATGTTTAATTAGACAAGAAGCTAAAAGTTAGCGACTCCGTATCTGCCATAAATAAAACGTGGAAAGAAACAGTAAATCAGAGACAGAGATGAATGCGTTAGTTGATGGCATACGGATCACTGACATGTTCATTTCTTATTGGTTCTTCTACTTTCTAGTCTGGTTGCAATAGTTAGTGGGGTCTAAATGTAGAGATAACATTGTTATATCGAGGGTATTTCATATTTTCATATAGATATGGTAAATCATCTTGGGACGAATTAATAGGACTCTTACAAGTGCTTAGATTGGTTAAATCTCCACAACATAAATATCTATTGGTTCTACCAAAAAAATAAAAAGGATATATTGGGCGAAGTAAATACTGATACATGATGAGAGAGACATGGAGTTGCTGTAAGTGGAAATGAGATGATAACTGGGTTGAAATTTTGATGTCTCAAGTATATTACTTGTTACCAAGTTTTTTTAAGGTATTTCAGAAATAAATAAATTTTTTACACATGAAATTGTATTGAATCTTAGCAGAAACAGAGTCGCCTGCTTAATTTTCATCTAGCATCTTCTTTGTCATTATGCTCTCATTGAACATCTGTAGCATTCTGGGGCAAGAAAAAGATGACTCCTATGCATTTCCAGACCTTTATTACGATAACATTTAGTTCTAAAGATATTTTCTTTGTTTCTAATTCAGTCATGTTAAGAGTGTCTGCCTTGTGGGTGCATAGAATAATATTATTCAGAACATGGAAAAGCAAGCGAACAATATATATATATATATATATATATATCAGCATATGGGTAATTGATGTGATGTACATTCTTTTGAGGATATGAAGAAAATGCATTGTTACTTGTTATTTAAATGGGATTTTTGCTACGACTCATACAAATAAATGTATATCCCTTGCCAATTCCTCAGAATGTATTCCCATAATCGATAGGAAGGAATTGAAATCAGTTGAAACAAAATTTCATTTGCAAGGGATCGAGGGAAAGGAAATGGACATAGAAGAAAAGAATGGCATTTCATCAGGAACAGTTGGAATCGGAACAGCCCATTCCGATTCCGTATTCCTGCAACCGTAAGTGTCTAATAATTCTAAGCTTTTGTATTGCGGATAAGCTTTGGATAATGCATCTATCATTGGCCATGGGTAATTGGGTAGTGCTTCCATTGCATGATTCATGTTTAGTTATTTAYAATCCGGGTTTTTTTGGTAAACCTGAGGTTGCATCAATGAACATGGATTTTGGTCAAAATCCAAATTTTATTTAAGAGAGTCAAAAGTCATGATTTGTATTGGGTCGAGCCGTAGCGTGTTGGATTTCTCCATTCTCATAACGGCTGGCATGAGGCATGATGTTGTTAGTACATGGGGACCTCCAATTGACTGCTTAATTACTAATTTGTTGACAATTTGATTCTACTAACTCATGTCTACAAAGCACACAGCGTAATCACGTTGAAGCCATTTTTTAGCCCAATGAATCTTTAAGGATGCCCGTCCTTTTTATTTTTTAACATATATTATATCAAAATATATATGTTAAATATTAATTAATGATTTTTATTTATTATATATTAGTTTTCACACAGTTTCTGCGCCGGAAAAATAAAAACTTTGTTTAGGTACATTACAGACTGCACCCTGTACTTTGTTTTGTCATAAAAGACCCCCCTCATCCTGAACTTCTAAAATGGGCATACAAAATCACAATATATCCCTTTTTTGGGTTGAGGTATTAATTAATAGTGTTTGAAATGCACAATAACCAAGCCCAGAAGAGTGAAGACTGAAGGGATATCGTGCTTTAGAATATAGACCGATGAGCAAATTACCGGTAGAGAGGCTTACGTCTTATATGTGGGATTGGGAAGAGATGGATGTGAATCGAGTTTCCATGGCCAGAGGAGGGAGACTACGTGAATCAACAACGGACTTGTGTGGTCCATCAACCAAACCTTTTTTTGTTTTTCTGTGACCTAATACCTGTTACGTTTAAAATGTGCAATGTTTGGCAGATTTCATTTCATTCAATCACTCTTTAATTACTAATTAACTACTAACTAGGTCCCATTTCACCAAATACTCCATGACAATTCAACCATTAATAATTAATTGCTTACGAATTTATGATGGACATTTGCAAATTTATTATCTTATTCCTCCCTTTGATAAAAATCGTGTCAAAGGCAGGAATCGAAGCTCTGTGCAGTTTTCTAAGTTCAATTTGGCCGCTCTCACCTCATATTTTTGACAGAAAAAAGAGTGTTAAATGATGCTCAAAGGTGGTGCTGTTCTCAATCAAATGGTGATTTCAGCATCCAAGTTTTATACGGCGGCCTGGGAGGTTTGGCATCTACAAACTCCATGCAAAAGTGTCACATTGTCCACATCTGCTGCGCTATGCTGTCTGTGTAACCAATTACAACTGAACATGCTAGTATTCTATTTCTATACATTTGGATGTGGAACAGTACTGGTGTGTTCACCCAATCACTCATTGTGAGTAGTTGCATAGCTTTTTTCACAGTATGGTGAGCAGCAAGCAGCAAGTCCCAAGTAATTACATATTATACACTACACGGTCCATGGGAATAAAACAGGAGCTTAAGGTGCATGTGAGTAAGGGTGTCAATCCATCGGTTTTGGATTGGATGGATCAATAAGACATATTGGATTGGACCAATCTGATTCAAAATATTTATTACATTGGATTGGACCTGGTCTGTTGGTAATAAATTTATATTGGACTAATCCAATATCTGGTCCATTGATCTAAGATAAACATATAGGTGTCAATGGACTATGTTTGGGTTGAAACCAACCTAAATCAAAACAAATTTGAATAAATCGAATGATCCAGACATTGAATTGAACTGATTCAAAATGGTCCAAATTATTCATTGGACTGGATTGGACCTGGTCCATTTATAATGAACTCACATTGGATTGGATCGGATTAAACCTAATCTAGTCCAATTGACACCCCTACATGTGAGATCTATCTCACTTACTGGCATATGCTTATCGTCTACTTGAAACAATACCTTTTGCAATGCCACCCATCCCCTGCAAAGCAAAAATCTTATGCACAGTACTCTGCAATTATAGGCCATATATTTAAAATGAATTCTGCTGATTGGCTAAACACTTCAGCTGTGTGGCGGGCTGTGGAATCAATAATAATGTTCCACTTCCACATCAATGATAAAATACATAAGGCCTACAATGAGAGGTTGAATGTTTGTAGATTCCATGTATTTTATAATTAGTGTTGAGAATTATCATTGATTCCAATTTCCACAACCTCCTACTGAACAGTGAACATCTACATCGTTTGGCTAAACCTGTCTCATTGAAAACATCTCCGATTATGAATTTAAGATACATATGTTATTAATGTTATTGGGGGATGTAACTACTGTTTCACAAGGGAGATAGCATCCTGTTCATGGGAAGCGCAAGTCTGCAAATCAAAATCAAACACGTCATTTTCTTTTTTTTTTTTGAGTTAATGGAGATTCAATGGGATTGCACTATTAACAATAAAGCATACCTTATCTTTTTCAAAAAATAAGGGGTTTTTATAGTTCAGGGGTGGATCTAAGATTTCTACGGGTGGATTGATATTAAATTCACAGGCAGGATGTGGTTTATAGGGGGGGCTACTAGTAGACTAGGAGGGGGCTGCAATTCAGATTTATGAGGTGGATTGCAGTCCACTTATCTCAAAAATGGGGTTTTTATAGTTCAGCCCACCCCTAGGGTAGAACTAAGATTTCTAGGGGTGGATTGAATCCTGCTCGTTGATTGATGCCAAATTCATAGGCAAGACATGGTTTATAGGGGGGGCTACTAGTAGACTAGGAGGGGGCTGCAATTCAGATT